TACTTTTGATATATCCATTTATTACACTCTGGGTTGGGTTTTTTGTTGGTCTTAACAGATTCTGATGGTAATATCTGCCTTTTGGAGCCTCCTGTCACAGCAGAACCCCAGGCTGTTGTAAGTATCCTACTAAATAAAGCTTAAATTATGATAGGTAGTATTATAAAGTGTACTCTAACCAAATGCTTGTCTTCATAGGACTATGAGGATAATGAAACCATTTCTGCCACAGAGAGGTCTACAGAGGTAATATTAATACAGTGTATACACATCAAATGATCTACACATTCAGATTTCCAGTTTTTGTGTGGAGTAGCCTAAAGGATGTAAATTTATATATACTGACATTATTATCTCCCCTCTGCCCCAGAGTGTGGAAGAACAGCAGGAGGAGGGTCCGTCAAATTCTGCTGCGCAGATGAACACTGTTCAGTAAATGCCAGAGTTTAATCTGTATAATTAATGAGGAACTATGTCATGTAACTCTAAATCTTCTGTATTTACAGTTACCAGTTAAGGAGTTGTATAAAATGCATCTTATTAAAAAATTTGAAAAAAATAAAGAAATGTTATACTTGGACCGCCAGATTGAAAAAAAAGATCTAGAAATTGAAATTCTCAAACAAAAGCTAGAGGTGAGTGTATAGTTACAGGTGAATTGTATGAATTATTGGACGAATTGTGAAACCTAACAAGTGCTTTTGTATTTGTAGGAAATGAAGAAACCCAAATAAAGTATGATTTGCATTTATTCCGTTTCTGTCTTTCATCGGTGGTGATGGTGGTGGTTGTAGATTAATCCCAGAAGACATTACGGCATATCCAATCTCTGACTGCCCTTCCATCCTGGTTATCTGCAGGGTGGATGGGGTCGTCCTCAGGGTCTTGTATTTGTAGGGCAGGGTGTTGCTCCCCTCTAATAATGGCAATATTGTGGAGAACAACACATGCCACAATAATGTCACAGGCCCTCTCAGGTGTTACCCTGAGGTGACGTAGGCAATGAAAACGTGCTTTCAACAGGCCTATGGTCATTTCCACCCGGGCTCTTGTTCTGCAGTGTGCCACATTAAAGCGCTGCTGGGGGCCTGCTGCAGGTTCTGGGTAAGGGGTCATCAGTGTGGGCTGGCATGGGTAACCCCTATCTCCCAGCAGAAAGCCATCAATCTCTCCTATAAGAAAGTTCACATCACTTTAGTGCTGCATAGAAGTGCTCCTGTAAGTGTGTAGTGCATGCATTGAAATAAGTGTATAGGGCATACATGTACTTACCACATTGCAGCCTGTTACTTAGGGTTGACACACGATATATTCGTGAGTCATGAACAGAGCCGGGCCACTTGGCCTCCACGTTCGTGATAATATGTGAAGCATCACATATGATCTTGGCAGTGCAGAAAATGATACATGTCAGGTACAGTATTGTGATGTAGTCTTTGACCATTAGAAAGAGTAGTCAGTGTACCTGCACATTAATACTGTGGATGGACCTCCTGTTGACATAGTCCCCTTCATTTTCAGAAGGTGCATTGATGGGAATATGTGTTCCATCAATGCATCCAACCACATTTGGAAATCCTGAAGGGGATTCTAATTATTAGTTTATTTCCAGAGGTCACAGCAAGATGTTATTAACTGATCATCATTTTTCAGATTAGCCTTACTGAAACGAATTCAATACCACTAACCTGCAATCCTGTGAAACTCCTCTTTAATGGCTCTGAGGGGTTTGTGCCCAGGAAACACAACAAAAAATAACAGAAAGCGCTTGAGGGTGAGGCACACTTTCCGAACTATTCTACATACTGTGGCCTTACTAATGTGCTCTGCATCCCCGATGTTATAAAGAAAACTGCCGTTTGCAACAAAACGTAACGCAACACAAAGCATCTGCTCGGATGTAAGAGCACGGCCACGATGGGTGATGTGTCTGATGTATGGGTGGATAAGAGTATGGATATATGTTATGGACGCTCTAGAAAAACGGTACCGCTCAAATAAAAATACATGGGGATATGACAAAAAATCAACTCGTGGCCTCAAAATCCTCTCCCGACGTAAATTCAATTCCCTGCGAATTAATACAGCCTCCTCATCTACAGGATCCTCTATAAATGGACATGCCATTTTGGTCTCTGCGTGACAGAAACATGTGCAATCTATGAATGTACTGAAAGATTAAATGAGGTAGGCCTATTTAAACACCTTTCACTTTAAAAAGGGGCGGAGACCGGAGGAAACTCTGGGTTTCCCGAACAAAACCTGCTCCCAACCAGGTTAGGTTCACAGAGTAAGTTGCCATAGTAACTGACTCTGAGTTTAGATTACCTCTCTTTTTGAAACGGGTTTAACTTACCCCGCTTTCACGGGTTTAAGTTACCTCCATTTCTCGAACCGAAAACTCTGAGTTTTCCTCATTTCGGGGTTAACAAACTCAGAGTTTCAACAAAACCTCCTTCTTGAAACAAGGACTGTGTTTGGAGGCGTGCTCCGTTTAATCTGACAACATGGAATGAACAATCAGCACCTAGCATGTGCTGCAGGACCTCCAGCCCATTCTTTTTCCAGTGGAACATATCAAAAGGGGCATATTCAGATAACATACCTGACAACATGGAATGAACAATCGGCACCTAGCATGTGCTGCCGGACCTCAAGCCCAATCTATATAAAACAATACATCATGTTAGCATACAACATCATTGGAACAAGCTGAGTAATTAGCACCGTCAGATGTCACAACAGTGTTATAACAATACACACGAGTGTATCCACAGTCATTGTTTATACAGAAGAGGTAAAAAAATATAGATGTGGGCACAAGCAGTAACAGGATTACAATGGATTTTAAACTGACCTCTTCCCAGTGGAACATATAAGAAGGGAAGAGGGTATGACACAGCACCGTATTTATATGACAAATGGTGGGACAAATGAAGAAGAAACAAGGCAAAGCTGGAGGTCGCAACCCAATACACAACATATAGGAGACACTTGCGCTCTGGATGTCAGGTATGGATAAACAATAATTAAACCTAACAAACAACTTTGTGTAATTATATGGTATAACATAGGGACCTGTTACAGTAGCAATGCAGCTAATGGTGGCTAACAATGTTAGCAGAGCTAATGCTGAAAACGGGAGCTGTGTGGAGTCTGGAAACATGGCTCAGCGTTGGCAGGGTTGGTAGGTGATTCCTGTTCAGCACTGTGGGAGCTGACCAATTAAAGCAGACTGGACTTTTAGGGAGGGGGGGCCAGGAGCTAAAACAGAGCATGTTCACACCGAGGTGAAAAGAGGGTCTGGCGCTACTGGTGCTCTGAGGAAACTAATGGACTTTATGAACATACAAAGGTGTAAACATTTTCTAATAGAACCTTTAATTAACACTATAAACCTGAAAATCAGCATAATTTGTGACCTTCAAAGAAAGTCACAAAGGTTGATACATTTCTTTTGGACATGTGAAACTGCCCAATAAATCTTTAGGATCTGTCACCTAAAGATTTAGGATAATGCTTTTCACACTTTCTGTAAAGGGGGGTGCAAATAAAGAAAAATCTTACAGAGGCATGAAAAGTGCTAAAACAAGAGTAGAAGATTTCAAGGTACTCACACAGGGTGAGATGTTTACAGCAACTGGGGAAGCAAAGGGCAGGGAAGGGTGGGACAAGGGTGGAGAAAGGGGAAAGGAGTGGAGAGTGGAATAAGTATGAGTAGAGAATGAAGTGGATAGGAGGCAGAGGGGGAGAGGAGAAAGAAGAGGAGGGGAATGCTTTAAAGTGTCTGGAACAGATTATCCTTGGAAGGCAATCAATCTTCCCTGGGATTTAGATGACTGCAGGGAAGCAAATGCTCTCTCTCTCTCTCTCTCTCTCTCTCTCTCACACACACACACACACACACACACACAGTTATACAAACACACACTGTGAGATCACCCCTCTTAACCTCTTGTCTCTCTTTTTTTAATCCATCTCTTCTTCTACCTTTCTTCCCCCTGAACATTTGCCCCCATTCCAAACATTAAAATCAATTGTAGATAATGATGGCACTTCTCAAGGTGTGTGTTTGAACCTGGGGTCTCCTCATACATATGGCTACAGTATCTGAACTATAGGAGAACAAGCATCACAGAGAGACAATGTGGTGGGGTTCTGTTTTTTGAGGGGAATATGAGAGCACATTTAACTGTGTGGAGAGCTGCTGGATCCCTGTGAGTGCTGGAAACTGAAAGCAGTCTGATCTGCAGATGGTCGAATCACAGTCCTGTATTGTATCAACAACTCAGGATTCAATAAACTGTGGCATCCTGGCTGGAAACAACCAGGAATCTGTATATATTTGTAACTAGACACAAGCACAGCACTATTTTTCAGTGTAATCTGTCAGACTCCCTATACAGTAAAAAAAAAACTCAACTCTGCTTTACGGGCACATTATTATTTCACTCTTTGACAGCTGCTTTTGTCCATAATAAGCCTCATATCAGAGGACATCTGTGAATACATTAGGTTCATCTACTTAGCATGGATGCTGCGATGACAGGCTATGTAACAAAAATCAATCAAAGAAGCAGCAGCAGCTGAGGCACAGTATAACAAAAACAGAGAAAGTTTGAGAAAAGTGAAAAAAAACTGAAAAATGCTTATCTAGGGCTATGAGCTATCTTCTGGCTAAATTATTCACTTCCAGTTGATTAATGATTAATCATTTAGATGAACTATTAGTTGATTAACTGGCCAGATATTTGACAGAAAATTGATATTCAACAATTTAATTATTTCAACCATTTTAATCATAAATGTAAAAAGGGATTCCAGCCTCCCAAGCCTCCAGCATTTTGGGGTTTTGAACTGCTAATCACACAAAACAAGTGATATAAAGATGCCATTTTAGGCTTTGGACAAATTGGTTTAGGCATCTTTTTGGCATTTTACAGACTAACAGATGACCATATTATCATTTGCTGTAATGGCTGTAGTTGAGGCCAATCCAAACCACCGAAACATTTCCTTACACCACAAACAAGTATGATCTTTCATACTGCTGTCCACAACTTAAATGTCAACTTACACTAAGTATCGTCTCAAGACATTAGCATGTCATCGTCATTACTGCACCAATCTTAAGATTAAGAAATCTTTTACTAGAAACATGTACACCTACTTAATAATAACAAAGTCAATAGCAGGCAACTTGTTCACTTTTGGCTGAACATTAACACCTTCATTTTTGGTTTAGATCTTCATTTGAATGATAATATTTAGGTGAAGGAATTTCATGCACTACATTATTAAGGATAATCACCTTTATTTGGCCAAGTATGTGACACACAAGGAATTTGTTTCTGGTACAGAACAGAGGCAGCCATCTGCGGCGCCAACTCAACCGATGGCGCTAACCATCGGGGGCAACTTGGGGGTTCAGTGTCTTGCCCAAGGAGACTTTGACACATGGACTGCAGGCCCTCCGGTTGGGAGATGACTGCTCTACCCACTGAACCACAGTTGCCCCCACATTCATCTTTAAAATATTCCTCTTTATGAAGAATAGCCTCCTTGTTGAAAGGCTGCCAAGTGTGGCTTCATACTGCGATAAACTGAAGCTGTGGATTTAGAGTTAAAACACAAATTCCAGGATTAAATATCTCTCTCGCTGTGTCAGAGTGATTGATTCCCAAAGTGGTGGAGAGGAATTGGAAGGATCTTATGGAAGACAAATTCTTTCAGTTTTTTTTTTTTTTAAACAGAGATGCAGGGGCAGATGCCACACACAGGATTTAAAGACACGTTTGCAGGACATGAAAGGAGGTATTGAAAAAGAAAGCAGCCCTGTCCTTGGCTTCATGCATGTCTCCAGCTGTGAGACCATTGTGAACATCTATCTTTATGGTGGGGGGGGTTCATCTTCCTGTTCTGAAGAGC